ATTAAGATAAAATACAAAGTTAAAAAAATTCCAAAAATATATGACTCATACTGTATATCCATAATTATTTATATTAAATATTAGTTTTGAATTACCGTATATTAAGTTTATAATGTTTATTATACAATAGTCAAATACTTGTTCTTAATTTACTATTTTCAGTTATAAATAAAAATCACTTCATACCCTTTTAAATTTAAAAACATAAATATAGTATATGAATGTAGCGACCATCTATTATGATTTGAGTGTTATTTTCTTTGCATGCTTTTTTGGCGTTCTTTTATACAATGCATATCTTGAAATGGATTATTTAATATGCGGATGCTAAGAAAAATATATCAAGTTAAAAATAACAAGGATTTGAAAAATTTGTGATAATGCTAAAAATAATAGGGATTTGAGATGTTATGAAAAATATTGGATCTTGATCTCGAAAACTAGATCATGAGAAAAATCGCTGATTCACGATCTTCACACTCTCTGTAGACTTCTTTCGGAATGATTGTTAGCTAGATACGGTATGATGTAAGGATATTAGTTTTCAAAAGCATTTCTTCAAAAAAAAAAAAAATAGATGTACTTTATGATAAACTTACGTAGTCGCTTTGGATTATGCCAACTGTGCCATTGGATTTCCTTGCTATCCACAAATCACCGTTTTTATCAACAATATCGAGGACTTCCCCTTGGGTGAATGACAGTATGTTCTTGTTTTCTGGTTCTGCTTTGACTAATAAACGTTCGAAAAATACGAATATCAATTCTCGTTCGATCCGAAAACACATTGTGTTTTAAACCTTTTCTCAAGAAGTTTTTGGACGTACAATCATACTGCGCCTGGGTCTTGTATTCATAAGTAGTAATAACTTCCCATTCTTTTCTTGGGAAGATTAAGTAAAAAGCACTGTGAACAACGTTACCCAGTGCAAAACTGCCAGATAGCAACAGCGCCGACGATAAATATCCTTCGTCACAATATAAAAAAAAACATAAATATCCGATGTGTAGATAAATCTGAAACACAAAAGTATATACGGATATGTATATAAGTTTATCCATTTTTTCATCGTGGACACGGAGGACGCAATATAATGGAATGGCAAGTATCATAGAAAGTATACTAATCTATTGAAATACTCGCAAATATCCAGGAGATGGAAAAGTGATCATCATATAGACTTGAAAAATCATTTGGATAATATAGATTGGAAGAAATAAAAAGCTTCGAACAAGAGAGCGACTACCTGAATCAGGTACAATCTGAGTTAAAGCGTTCAATACACAGAAAACATACATAACGGTAGAACATCCATTTAATAATTCAGGAGTTTGTAGACTATTCAATATGAAGAATCTGGTCGTCATGAAAGTCATAAGAGCCAATACTCCCATGAGTTGTATAACTGCTGTTCTGATTACTAATCTTTTTAGTTTAGCAGAGAAAGACTTATCATCTTTGGAAGGAGTTGAGAAAAAGGTCAAAAATGTACCGCTAGAGAAGGATAAATAATTTCCGAATGCAACATGTGAAACACTATGAACTATTTGGTTGCATAGAGTTGAAGCGGACGATATGGATGCCAGATTAACTAAGAATAATAAGAGGACGTATTTTTCATGGTTCATATTACTCTTCGATATTAATTTCCTCGAATATTTTAAAATTTTCGATGAAAAATTCACATTACAGTATATTATATTAATTTCCATTTCAGGTAACGGTCGAGTGATCGATCGATCGAACGAATGGCTTAGGTAGTCAAATAATGGAAGTAGAAAATGCAGGAATTTAATGAAGTTATGAGCATCGAAAACATACTCGTACAAATACAGTATATACAAGCCACCAACTTGTTAATAAATGGGAATAACCCTTACACCAGTTACCTTTCGCTGCTAGTTCGTTTCAAGTCCCTTCCTGTATGCGTGGCATACGCTGTGGCTTAGATAAAAATGTTATTACTTTCGAAGCACGAGAAAAGACCATCATACGAGGCGTATGCATTCATTCGCAAAGCCTCGCGTTGGATGAACATTCTTTGTCTGTTAATCAAATTAAGATGATTTTTTTCTAAAAAAATAAACTTTTTCTGCAAATGAACACAAACATCCTTTTTTGCTCATTACTTCGTGTAAATTTGGTCGAGAGTGGTTGTGAAAATCAAGTAATAATCCAGATGACATTAATTAATTACCGGGATTGTAAAGAGAGTAAGAATATTTTTGGTCGGAGGGAGGCTTAGCATTAAATGGTTATAATGTGGCTTTTCTCCAAGCAATTACCTTCATCATAATTTTCACCTTCGAATCATCAGGTCCGTCGGGTTACTTGTTGTAAAGGCTTTAAGAAATTTCAAGAATACTATTCTTCCCGTCTGGATGAAGTTGATGAAATTGTAGAAAAGATGGCAAAATTAGGTTAAGGTTCGATCAAAAATAATGAGAAAGAACGTTCGTCGTCTGACCGCTTTTTTCTCAAATTTATAATTTAAAAACATTGGCCGTAATATCAATCGCAGAAAAAAGCTTATTTGCATTTTATGTTTTATTGAAAAAAAAAAAAAAACTTTTTTTCTTAGTCAACCTGTCTATATTGAAACGACCGGCATAGGCTAATATGTACAGTAGCTCGAGAAGAAAAAAACGTCTTCCGCCTGGCGCAAATAAAAATAATAATCAAACAGCCATCAGCATCGATACCTCTCCACAGCCACCAGAGTATACTCGCCGAGATGGTTCACATGAAGGCAATGACGAACTAGATATAACACAAAGTAGCCTCGAGACTAAGGAGTCCGGTTCACGCGAGACGCAATCATATTTGGACGACATGAATCCACTCAAAATTCACAGGCTAGATCTAATCGTCACGATTGGTCTTTATTACACCTCATTAATAATAAATTCTATAACTCTTTCAAGTAATTCTTCATCGTTTTTTGAGTTTTTATTTAATCTACTGTTCGGATCCTTTGCATTGAACCAATGGAAATTCGGTCAATTAGACTTAATTGGGAAAATCACTGGACTAGTACTCTCATTGCAATCTTTCATATTCTTAATTGCCGTTGGGATTTATGTGTTCTCAAAATTTTCCGGATCCGTAAAACATTCTAAAGGACGCGGCGAGGGACCAGAAAAAACTGGAAAAATACATTACGGAGGACCATTTCAGATCGTTTACTTATTCAAGAATTTTTTCAGTTCGAATGACTCGCATGACACGTATTATGATTCTCTCAAAAAGTTTGATGCTCAACTATCTCAATTTATAGGACTATTGGGTTATTTCTTGATTATATTTGCCGCCATTTTCGCGGGGAGTAATGAAGTTACGGAAATTGGTGCTTCAAACGCAGTTGCTAAGTCCGCGTACAAAGCTATTATTGCAGCTGTCATATTGTTAGCAATATTAAATATAGTTCAATGGGTGATAGATATTTGGAGGATTGGAAGTGATGAGATAATTATTTATGAGATCATTAGAAATAACTCGTGTTGTGGCGGAAACAAGATATCCAAAAATTCAGTGGGAATATTAGATAGGAATATGCCATTCGCTTCAATCCCAAAAGCACCGCTGATAAAGTCCACAGTATCGGTGGCAATGACCGGATCACCAACCGTGGTGAAAACATCAACGGGCATAACTGCCTCACCTACGGCGTCAAGATCGATTAGTCCTTCGAAGCCCTCATCGAGAAATAGTAGTCCCGCTTCCTCGAGGCCAAGCTCGCTGGCTAATCTTTCCGCCTCCTCCCTGTCAAGGTCACTGCAACCGTCCACGGTATCAACTGCTAGCCCATCACAATCGAGGTCCGCCCTGGCGAGTGAACCTCCTACTACATCCTCTAGGACGCATTATGACCTTAGCCCGTCTCGACCTCTAGTTGTATATCCTACCGAGACTGCTACTTATTACAGCGCGCCATCAGCCGGAATCGTGGAAAGGCATGAGTTAACTCAAGAAGTGATATATGGCGGGAATAATTTTGATGGTCAAAATTTAGGCACGGGAAATGTTGGGGAATCAACGTATGATAGCAACTTTGAAGTACAAGGGTTAACACGTGAAAGTGGTGGAGATAGTGCGGAAAGGCAAGAATACACACACGACAGTGGAGGATTTGACAGACAGGAATTAGTATATGGAGGTGATGTTGATGAAGGGCGCCCATCTAGTGGTAGTGACGTTGTAGAAAGAAGAGAATTAAACACTACCACTGAAAGTCAACGATTATTACCTCAGAGAACAAGCACTATACAGAGACAATCCGGTCTTAGAAGGAGTACAAGTAGCAATAGAGCTCGTAGGAGTCGAAGAAATGATAGCGAAGAAAGTCTTGAGAGGGGAAGACCAAGATAAATTATCAATTACTTAGTGGAGGAGTAGGCCAGGAGATCATGCCATCTATTCGTTATTCTAACTAAGATTTTTGGCAATGGAAATGTTTCTTGAGTTCATTTTTCCTCATATGCTTTTGTTTTGATTTTCCGTGTCATTATGTATATATTTCATCGCCGTAAGACTAAATTCACAAAAATGTATTCACAGACACTGTTTTATTTACATAAAATCATATGGTTAGAAGAGAGAATCACAAATGTATTTTGATCAAAACTTGAGATGCATCGAAATAATTTTAAAAATTTGATTCGAAAAAAAAATTTTCTCGCATAACTTGAGCCTTTATTCAACGCCTCTGTTTAAATCATTGGATTGATCGACTCGACGTACGCGAATTTCGTGTCTGATTTTCTTAACGCTAATATAGTGGCAAAAAAATAATAAATTATATTATGAAAAAAAATTTTTTATTAGTAAAAACAAATTTAATATTATAATAGAATTACAGTATATATGATTTTATTTGAAAAATTTTTTTTCAAAATTTTTTATCAAATCCAAATATTGATAAGTCGGTAAATCCAAAACATTATTAATTATTCAAATCAAAAATAATATTAAAAAAGACTTGAATAGCTCTATAAAATTATAAATTAAAAAAAATAAAGATAATTTTTTTGAATTTTTTTTTTTAAAATTTTTCCAAGTTTTGCATAAAAAAATATGTTATATATTGTATGGTCATTGTATCATTATTTTCATAAATATTTTAAAAAATAAATTTTATCAGATAGTAATTATAATTTTATTTAAAAATATTAAATGAATTTCTTAGCCTATGTATATATAAATATTTTAACACGATAATAATTTAAAATATTTAAAATATTAATTTAAAAATAATAACTTACATTTTAATTAATTTATGACTTTAAAATTATTATATTTTTTTAATTAAAAATTTATAACATGATAAAAAAAATTAATCATTTTTTTGTTTGATATATCATACACATACGTAATTAAAAAATTTTGATTTGATATTTGTGCATAATATATCTTATAATAAATTTAATTTTTAAAATATTTTTTTTTTTATAACTTTATATAAAGTTATAAAAATTTTTTAATAAAATATTTAATGATCCTTTGAATAATATGGACTTTTTAATCTTTGCACTTGATAAAAAATGAAATATTAAAATAATAAAATTAAATAAAATCATATATGTATAATTTTATTGATATTAAAAAATTTTATTATTTTATTTATTTACAATTTTTTAAGGTAAACATGCATCGATGAAAACCTTTATTGATATATTATAAATTAAAAAATATCATTATTTTAAAATAATAATAAATTTATTTTTACTTAATGTATTAATTATCATTTTTTTTTTGCTATCACTGTAAGATTATTACGAACAAAAATTGGGAATAATATAATTAAACTTAGTATAGATTATAAGCATATTTAACTTGTGTATAAGATAATGGAGTCAACTATTAAGGGACAGCCGTTCATTTCAGTAAAAAAATGCGTTCTGATATACAAGCTTGGTGTCTTAAGATATACTATATAAGCTATCATATACATTCTCAAAGTATATAATCTGATATGCAAGTAATGAAAGCTTGACGTAACTTGAGATACGCTATCGAAATATGTTATACCCTTGAAATATGAATAAATAAAGTTAGTCTTTACTATGCATATAATATCCCATATAGGTTCAAGTCCCAAAGTCATGACCCTCAGTTAAATATTTGAGCAAGATATTCCTGGTACCATTTGTGTTCCACAATTCCCACCCGTTTTGATGTATACTCTTCGGTGCATTCAATAACCCTGCAACCTCCGAACTCACTCGATTATAATGTAAGAACATTCAAAACCTAGAATGCGACCAAGTTAGCATCGCACGAGCAGCCTTTGACCGAATCTTTCGCTTGTTCTTCAAAACCATCCTCGAAGACTCGAACTTGGGTAAAAGAATGATCTCGTAATTTTTACATAACCAACGGGCCAGCTGATAATGGCACTCATCAATGAAATTACATATTCGTTGTATGATTCGTAACATCTTTTTTTTTCTTAATCGGAATCTCTTTCTCTGGTTTGTTCTTCTCAAAGCAAGATCTTTATCGCTCTGTAATTTTCATATTTTTTAAATAACTTAAATATTTATTAAATCACCATTACCCCACTCGATTAATTAACCGTTAGGGTCATAACCAGTCATAAACCTGGATCGAGATTACTTTTCTCCAAAAATGGAAACACAAGTAAAAAATATCCCAGATTATTCATAGTTATGTTAGTATTATGGGGTGATAATGTTTTTTAGGAACGCGTATTTCCCTCTATTCTTATTTCAATTCCTAATAAGAATCGAGATGTTTTGTGTTCGATCCTTTTTCGATCATTACTTCATTCGAAAATTATTTTCTATGCGACCATAAATTGTTGAATCGCATACGAACGTATTTCTCTAGGAGTCTCTTTTACTCAGAAGTTCTTCAATTGTGAAGCATTCATCATTCAGGTAATGCTTTCGTATAACACTCATGTCGGTGATTCCATTGTCATGCACTATATTAAGAACCTTGTTGTACATCCATCTTACAGTTTCCATTCACTTTCTTGGCTTTTCTCTTTCTTCAGGTGTTGAGTAAATCCGTATCTTTTGTGTCTTTAATCTTTCTTTGTCGTTTTCTCTATCCAGCTAATCCGAGACCATTGTGTCTTGTCGTGAAAATAGTAACGATTGATAATATCTGAATCCGTGTCATCAACATTTACATCCGAACCGAGTACCACGATCTTTGTACTGTTCTCGCCAAGAATCCATTCGATAAGCTCGTAGGCAAATCAGCAGAGCTGATCCTTCCTGGTAATCACAACCTTCTCGATATCTCCCCGGTACAATCATTCCAAATGGATTTGAAGCACTTGCATTTCCAGTTGAGACTTGACCTGATGCCTGAGCATCAAGGTCTTCTTTTTGTTTCTCTGAGCAGACCCTTGTGTGATAGATCTTTGTTCTTTCTTAGTAAAATTTTATATTTTTCTGACTTCTTGTGCTTCACGATACTTTGTAGTTGGCATTATCTTGCTCAAACATACGAAAAAACAGGACTTATTTATACTATTGAATCATAAACAATAGATGTAATTCAAAATACTTTGCTTTATTAAAAATACTTATCAATATTGTATTGTTTTACATAACGTGTGAGCTAAAAATGGTTTTGGAATTTAACCACGGCGATCTGTACATAGGTTACTAGATAGGAACATACGTACCATAAAAAATTTACATTTAAAGAAATAGATCTTCGACGAACTTACGAATTTTTGGTCCCCGGCTCTTCTCTTGCATCGTCGACCAAAGTTGAAACGACCGCCACCATCCTTCACGACAGCGTCAGTTAATATTAAATTATTGGAACAAGGGTGTAGGCACCGTAAAAGAAATACAATAATATAAATTATTAAGTAAGCAAAAAACAATTCCCTTTTCAACAAAGATTTTTTAAATTATTGTGTATACACACCATTTTCTCATATGTAATAGTGTATTGTTTTCTAAAGCCTCTTCAGCTAACGTTGAATTATAACGTTACACATTGCACAGCTATTTACCCAAACATAAACACTAGTGTGATGTGACACATTCGGAAAATGTGTAGATGAGCCTTATTTACTTTCTTGGTCAGTCACTTCAGCCCAAATGCTCATTAGATACATTTCTTTACATTTTTGTATATATGAAATAGAACCCTATTTTTGAATGACATTCTAAGTGTTTCGAACCAAAAAAAATCCATTATCAACGTTACACATCTTCCCTTTTTGTAAAATAAGAAATAAAAAAGATTATTTTATTAAGATGAATGCGTAACGACCCAGTTATTGAGTTTAACCTTTCCTTAAAATACTAGTGTTTTAAATGTCTATATTCAACAAGCATTACAAAAAGGGTAAGACCCACTTGGAAAATGCTAGAAAACAAATACTTGATGGTCATCCAAATGAAGCGCTGGATACTTATCGTAAGGCAATTGATGAATTTAAGGCTGAAGGATCTTCTCTGTTTCATGACGTAAAAAAACACTTGGTTGATGCATATGTAGAACGTGGTGACGTCTACAAAGGTTTAGGAGAAATAGAAAATGCAACTGTATGCTATAAAGAAGCTCTAGAATATGATCAACGATGTCTCGAATTATCGGTAAAGCTTGAAACAGCCAGACAGTATTCTTTGCCAGAGACAACGACGCCGACCTTACCGTTTTTTATCCAAGATCCACTGGTAACATCAAACCCGCGTTCGGAGATAGGTAACATTCTTAGCACTCAGGATTTGTCCTATTACCTACAACCTAACAACCATACCCAGGAACAAGCGCCAGAGCTAATAGAATTGGCACTAGAGGTTATTGAACAGTATGCTCAAAGGAATGTTAAATCGCAGGAACAGATTTATGAAATTATTGCGTTGGCATCCATACCTGATATAAAAGTTTATGAGGAATTATTAAAGTATAGTATTAAGTCTATTGATAGCGAATTGCATCAACCAGAATATCTGTTTTGTTTAAGCCAAGTGATTCAAAACATGCCCAAATCGCTCTTGATTACCAGGAAGGTTAGCACAGGGAATTTAGTGTCCATATTAAGAATTTTACATAGGCGTTTAGAAGAACTGCACGAGAAAGATAACGAGGACCAACTCTTCGAACTATTACAAATAATATGTTCATTATTAGATGCCATGGTGTGGTTAGGCGTCAAAGGTATTAGTCATGAAAAGCTGTATGCACCATTGTATAGACGACTTAAAGAGCTAAAAGTTAATCCGGCGTTGGCCTATCATGTCCACTACGCCTGTCAGGCTTTGTTGCATATCCCAAATGATGAAAGTTTATTGAAAGAAGTTATGCATCGAACTTTTAAAGTAACTATTGGAACCATGAATTTAGTTAGCGCATTTAAAAATCTAGACCCAAAT